ATAGTTCACCATGGTTGTGAAAGCATAGTTCACCATGGTTGTGAAAGCAAAGTTCACCATGGTTGCGAAAGGAACAACCACCATGTTATAAAAGCATAGATCACCATAGCTGTGAAAGCAACAATCATCATTTTAGTGAAAGCAACGCTCACCATGGGAGTGAAAGCAAAAACAACTATGGGAGTGAAAGAAATGATCATGATTGTGAGAGCAAGGACCACCGTAGCAGTGAAAGCAAAGATCACCAGGGCAGTGAATGGCAAATATCACCATGGATGTGAAAACAAATATAACTGGTTGTAAAAGCAGATTTAACCATCGCTGTGAAAAGCAAACTTAATCATGGTTGTGACAACAAAGATCATGAATGTGTAAGCAAAGATCAACATGGCAGTGAAAGCAACGACCACCATAGCAGTGAAAGCAAAGGTGACCATGGCAGTGAAAACAAAGATCGCCATGGCAGTGAAAGCAACGACCACCATGGAAGTGAAAGCAAAGAAAGTTATCCATGGCAGTGAAAGCAACGATCAACACGGTTGTGAGAGCAAAGACTGCCATAGCAGTGAAAGCAAAGATGACCATGGCAGTGAAAGCAACGACTTCCATGGCAGTGAAAGCAACTAACACTATGGTAGTGAAAGCAATTAACCCCATGGAAGTGAAAGCAACTAACACCATGGAAGTAAAAGCAAGTTCACCGTGGTAGTGAAACCATACGACACCATGGCTATGGAAAGCAAAGATAACCATGAGTCTGAAAGCAAAGATAACCACTATTCTGAAAGCAAGGATCACCATAGCAATAAGAGCAAAGATCACCATAATTGTGAAATCAGCAATCACCCTAGTAGTGAAAGCAACGACCACTATGATTGTGAGAACAAGGGCCACCATGGCAGTGAAAATAAAGATCACCATGGCAGTGAAAAGAAAGCTAATCAGTTGTGAAATCAAAGATTATGGATGTGAAAACATTGATCACCATAACTCAAAGTAAAAAGCGCGATGCCAATGAAAGCAAGGATCACTATGGCAGTGAAACTAAAGATCACCATAGTTGTGAAACCAAATGCCACCATGGTTGTGAAAGTAACGACCACCATGGAAGTGAAAGCAAAGATGACCATGGTAGTGAAAGCAAAGATCACCATAATTGTGAAAGCACTTGTCACCATAGTTGTGAAAGCAAAGATCACCACGACTGTGAAAGCAAAGACCACCATGACGTGAAAGCAACGACCACCATGGAAGTGAAAGCAAAGATGACCATGGCAGTGAAAGTGAAGATCATCATAATTGTGAAAGCACTTGTCACCATAGTTGTGAAAGCAAAGATCACCATGACTGTGAAAGCAACGACCATCATGGAAGTGAAAGCAAAGATGACCATGGTAGTGAAAGCAAAGGTCACTATGGCAGTGAAAGCAAAGACCACCATAGTTGTGAAAACAAACATCACCATGGCTGTGCAATCAAGGATTACCACGACCACCATGGTTGTGAAAGCAACGATCACCATGGCAGTGAAAGCATTGATCATCATAGTTGTGAGAACAAGGATTAGCATGTTAGTGAAAGCAATGATCAACTCATGCAGAAGATTAAAGAAAAATTACATGGTTGTGAGAGCAATGATCACCATGGCTGTGAAAGCATAGAATACCATGGTTGTGAGATCAACGATCATACAATCACATTAAAACGTCCATGTCGCTTACCTGACTACAATCATTTACCACAATCATATCACAATATGAAACAATCATTTACTACCATCATACACTACACATTAATGTACCAGAATCGTATACTACACAATCATATACTACCACAATCAGGCCACAATAATATTCCGCACATATTTATAGTGGAAGAAGATAAACGACATTTCTACCTGAGTATTCTAAGCCAAGAGAGAGACTTAAACAAAAATTGCTTAAGGTTGTGAAAATTTTGAACCGAGTCAACACATAATAGAGCTTGTGTACGAAAGGTATATAATACCGACAAGATGAGAGTAAGACACATGTGCAACATCTGGGTATCTTTATTGTAGACGTTTCGCCATCGTCTGCTTCACCTGACGTTACTATATAAGCGCCAGGATTCTTTCTTCTGCTTCAGAATCTCCACGACTATGGTGCTGTTCGCACCTACTCCTAGGTTGAGGGACTGATTACCTCATCTTCTGTACATAGTTCTACTGTCTTCAAGTTATGTCCTGGAATTTGTATTGATAAAGCCACTGGATGGCGAAACGTCTACAATAAAGATACCCAGATGTTGCACATGTGTCTTACTCTCACATAATAGAGCTTATTAAAAATGGAAATATACTAATTTGGTCTTCACAATGAGGAAAGAATCAGAGAAAGAATGATCTCAAGTGTAGTATACGCCTTTCACAACCTCACTGAAGTGCAACAATACTAAATGTGTAGCGAACCTAAGGTATAGTCAACCTGAAGTGATGTTTAACACACTAAATTTCGATAACTAACTGAAGAATTGACGGAGAGTAAATAAGTGAAGAAACTATCAAATATTCCTTTGGAAACCGTCCTAAACTCAAATTGGTGCTTGGAAAGGCTGATTGCCAAACATACAAGGTTTGTATAAGTCACCCTGAGAAATCTTAAAATTGGATTAAAAATGAAAACTACACAATTGGGTTACAATCGGATTAAACATATAATGACTACACAGAAAACTCTACAGAAAAAGCAGAATGGTCGTTGAACTGCTGAGAAAACCACTTATGTCTCAACAAAAATAGAGAAAAAGTAATCATTCATAAAAATTACCAATATAGATTATTATTGTAATCAAAAAGAAGCGCTAAGCTACCAGTATAGAACTAAAGGTTCCATATTAATTAGAATAATCACTTAAAGGAAAGTCATACACAAGACAAATAAATAACTACAATCTTGAAAAAAACATTATGAATATGTTAAGCAATACAGTGAATAAAAATGCTAAGCGAGTCAAGATTCCTTTGTAAAAGTTCACATGTGTACGAAACATCGTGCATCTCTACAAATAAAAGTAATTTTGTATTCTTGAGTCTTCTTATCACTGTGGCTGGTGCCACAGTTTAACATTCAGCAATCTGCTTCATTAGCTCTTAAGAACGTAAGAAAGAAGGAACACTGAAGTAGGCCTGTTGGTCCATACTAGGCAGGTCTCACAAATCCAAAAATCTTCCTCCATGAATATAATAGTTTGCACCATGAGAATCGAAGAACCAAATATTTTTTTCAGTAACTCTTGCTAGCATATAGCTTAAACATGCTCCAGCACATATTTAAGCTTTCAGAGGAATGCTTTATTTATAGAGCAATGCACAATTCACCAAAACACCGAATGAGAACTCGCTGCCATTTGCAGATGAGCTTAAATTCAGATGAAATCTCAGAGGCCTTAAAAAAATAAAGTGTATACATACCCCACTTCATAGAGGAAGCAGCAGGACGTTGACAAAAAAAAAAAACATACAGGGTGGTAACACTAACACTACATGTCATAAAAGTCTTTGAGAGGATGCCAAGATGATTCAGAGTAAAAGTCAACATGGGTTCAGAGTAGAAATAGCCTGCCGATGTATATAGTTTACACAGATTTTGTAAGACCTAGACCGTGGACTAGGGTAAATAAATATGACAGCAAAATATCACAAGTGGCTAGCAAAATAAAATCTGTTCTTAGCAGAGTAAAGAGTTCATTATCCTAATGCATGGTCGTCCCAATTTTATTGTTTCTCGCCTTCATAATAATTCCAGAGGGAACACTAACCTGAGTATCATTCGCTGAGGATGCTAACGAAATAGGAATAAAAATTTCCTCCTGGAGGTTATTCCGGGGATCACCCCCCCGCGGCCCGGTCCTTGACCAGGCCTCCCGATGGATCAGGGCCTGATCAACTAGGCTGTTACTGCTGGCCGCACGCAGTCCAACGTACGAGAGACAGCCCGGCTGATCCGGCACTGACTTTAGGTATCTGTCCAGCTCTCTCTTGAAGGCAGCCAGGGGTTTATTGGCAATTCCCCTAATGCTTGATAGGAAGCTGTTGAACAGTCTTGGGCCCCGGACACTTATGGTGTTTTCCCCTTAGTGTACCAATGTCGCCCCTACTTTTTATTGGGGGCATTTTGCATCGCCTGCCCAGTCTTTTACTTTCGTAGGGCAATTCCCCTAATGCGGGAATAATTCCTAAGAGATATCAGGAAAATCTATTTAGCAAATGGAAATAACAAGTCAAATTGGAGAAAAATTCAAGTAATTTTAAATATGTATAGAAATACAAAAAGGTCTAACGAATTCGATAGTTAAAATACACCTAGAGATATTTATCTCTTACTGTATGCACAATGAGAATTTATTTTAATCAATATTTAAGGGATCAAAGTATCCTTGACTGAGGTGTAAAGGTTACATGCAGTTTTAAAGATCCCTGTGAGGTTGACAGGTTTTTTAAAGACCCCTGTGTGGCTGAGAGGTTTTAAAGATATTAAACCAATCAAAACGAGCACTTGATACAGAACACAAGCAAAATAACTATAGAACGAGAGAAATATGTTAAAGGTTGTGGAATAATAATGTCAGATGATCTATTGTTAGTAAAATACGACAAGGGAAATGTATCAATGACCAGGAAAATGATACGCTGTATTATAAAAAATAAAAAAAAAAAACAAAAAAGTAAGTCGTTCTGATGGTTTTACTATTTAAATCAGAATTGTTTCGTTTCATGCTTTCAGGGTTGTCTGCATAAGCTTAATAAAAAATCTAAGCTACTGTTTCAAAGCACTTGGAAAAATTACACACACATAGCATATATATATATGTATATATATTATATATATATATATATATATATATATATATATATATATATATATATATATATATATATATATATATATATATATATATGATTCGTTGTACTTGCGGCCAGCAGTAACAGCCTGGTTGATCAGGCCCTGATCCACCGGGAGGCCTGGTCGTGGACCGAGACGCAGGGGCGTTGATCCCGGAATACACTCCAGGTAGATATAACAGCCGTATGACGGTTGGTAGAAGTATACCCTATGACCCTTTCATATTCGTATTCCCCCTCACCTCCGAGCGAGTGTCAGAAACTGGACTCTTATCAAGCAGGACCTTTGCTTAGCAGACGAAGATATTATAACTACATAATAAACCGCAAGTATAACATACCATGTCTATCATATGGTCCTTCACACTTCCCCATTTCACCCACATTATCAGATATATCACAAAAAATAAATATTAAAAAAAAAAAAGACCAGTATATGTACAAATATCGAAAATAACACAAGTGGAAAACAAAATACCTCTGCAGACTGTTCAATATTTGTGTATCGTTCCAGTCACGGTATTGTGCATTTTTTTGTTATTGAACTGGAAAAGTTCGTCTAGAATGTGGCCGGAGGAATGGCAGAAGCAGTTTAATGTAGATAACTGTGAAGTTTATTTTATAAACTTTTATAAAATTTACAAAATAAACAATCAAACTGAATGCGAAAATGAATAAGGAATTCTGGCTAGCAGTATGGTATACAGAGCTCTGTGGCCCGCTCCATGGTTGCAGATCGACAGGACGACACTGTCTAGTCTGTGACTTAATGTATTAAGTTAAATGATGGTCTATCTGATGGCCTATTTGTCTACACAAATCTTAGCTTTACCACTGTACATGTTATTACAGCTGTTACTATCCGTATACTACCTACTTCAGCAGACTCTTAAATCAGCGGGCATAATAACATCTTTGAATTTAAGAGACGTTGTATAGTGTATTTAGGCTGGAATATAACCCTACCTATCACCCAGGAGTAAAGTACTTTTAACAAACTTAGTTAACCTATTTCTTAAAGAACAACTTTTGTGAAAAAAGTATTTCACAATCTTTAATGTTCATTAATAATTAAATTGTAATTGAACAGACAGTTATTGCCTCATAATTAGAGTAATTATCTACTTAATCCTATTAATGTAAGGTTATATTTACATCAGGAATGGATGAATTTAATCATGTTTTGCACCGAAAATATTTCCATATTTTACCATAAAAGCGAAGTGATGTAACTATTGTCCAAAAATGTTAATTCATTATAATGTAATTTACATTTAAGTTCACACTACACTTGAATTTTACAGTAGAATGTTCATAATTATTTAGTTTCAGTTTCCCAAAGGGAAGCAAATTCTCAATGAGCCTAGCAGCAAAATTTTAATAATTATAGCCAAGGGTAACTAGTGAGAAGCGACAGCGTCGATACACTTTATTGAGAAGAATACTTTGTATAAGCAAAATTGTTGTAAGTCGGATGTTGATTCCGACTCATTAATATGATTTAAATATACTGACAGGGCTTTCTTCGCTATCCAACAATTGAATTATGACTGGGCAATTATCAGGAGAAGAGGGAAGACCGGTAATAATTTGTGGATATCCCAAAATTGAGGCAATTCACTGAAGCAACTACCACCTGGAGTTCATCAAGAGTCATTTTGGATATATCACGACTTCATGTACAATTGACTTCAACTTCCAGGAAAGTATCCCTCTTTATTCATTGTGTTTCCACTGAAGGAAGATTTACAAAAGATAGGTAAGGAGGGCGGATCCTGGTAGGGGGTGTCTTAGGTACAGCTACACAAACAATAATCATACATAGTTTAACATATGATACAATAATCTCACAGTAAACGGGTTATATCACAATGTGCAGAACAGCCACTGTGAAAAAAAATAGTGAACTTCCAAGCGCTTTCGTGAGAAATCACGCAAACACTTGCAAGTTCACTATTTTTTTCACAGTGGTTATTCTGCATAGTTTAACATATGTGTAAATTACCCAGGATAACCCCCAAAACAGTCAAAGTGACTTATTTACATTGGTGAGCATATTATTATTATTATAATCAAGGGGGAAGCGCTAAACCCGGAGGATTATACAGCGCCTGGGGGGGGATGTGGAAGGCATTCAGGCTTAATTCGGGGAACTGGAGCACAGATCCAATTCCCTAAATCAAGAGCCCCTCACCAACATCAAGGAACCTTCCTTGAGGGGTTCGGTGAGCATAGAGACAAATTATAATGCAGTCTGTCTTTGTAACCTGTGTATACACATTCTTTGTAACCATTATGGTAGTATTGGTAGATGTTATTTATCATAATTAAGACTCAGTGATCCAAGATCCTACTAAACACCAGTGATATTAAAATTATTATTTTTCCTTTGATTTACACCTCAAGCTCACATGTGCAACCTTGATGTTATCTGTACATCTGAGGGGTTTCACTCGTTTAATTACCATTCCAACGGCGTTATGGGGAATGTGTCAAGGATATGGCAGTGGAAGGATATAGTCGAGTATGGATTGGCTATATGCAAGTTCCTTAGGGACAAAATAATCATATCACATTTCTGCCAGTTAAAATAATGTAAGTAATTTGTACTAAACTGAACAATACTTAATAACTTAATTATTTATTTTGTCTCTGAAAGTTATTAAGGAATAAACTTTTATTAAAAAATAAGCTAAAAGTTTGTTAATTATAATAAAAATAAATATAAAAATAATTGATGATTATATTCTATTTTGTTCTTCCTTTTGTCTATCACCAGAAACACTAATAGCAAATATTAATTAATAACAGACGAACAGTAAGAGAAAATCCGATTATCTATTATTATATGTATGAGGAAAGTAAACCCTTAGGAGTTGCACATCACCTGGGAAGTCTGAGGTCATCAGGTTTGAACCAAGGAAGGGAAAGACAGCTCCAGTTTCCCGGATTAAGAGCCCTTCACCAACAGCAAGACTTTCCCTTGAAGGGTCTTCAGCTCAAAAGCCCTTCGCTAACAGGAATACTTTTTCTTAAAGGGTCTCTTTATCAAGAGCCCTTTACGAATGGAGCTTTTATTTTTTTTCAGCAGTGAACTTTAAAAAACAGTCTTTTCCTCTCCCTCAAAGCATCGCTCGAAAATCAGAGTTTCCTTAACGGCATTCACTTGGCTAGTTCACCCGGATAACAATGTCAAAGTCACCTGGCACACTCTTGCCTCCAGACTCTACATCAACGGCAATAGTGCTGGAAGTCATGAAGAACAGTGGCTGATCATCGACCTCACAAGACCTGGTGAATGAATGCTGATGTAGTCTGGTCGTTAGTGGGGAAGGAGTTTTGGATAGGAAGAGATACGGAGACTGATGGGGGGAGAATGGAAGGATGAAAGGAATAGAGGGAAGGATGGAAAGTGTTTTATGTAGTGAGTATGAGATGGAAGTAGTAGAAGGAGGGGGATGGAAGGAGTAGAGGGAGGGGGATGGAAAGAATATCGGGAGTATGACGGTAATGGAGGAAAAGAGGATGGAAGTAGCAGTGGAAGTAGTTTAGAGAGGGAGTTTGAGAAGCGGATAGAAAAAAAAAAGGGATAGGGGGCATCTTCAGGAGGTTCTAGTGTGCTCGATGGGTCCAGATTTTCTGAGGCAGAGCTTTTTATCGCCTTTATCTTATATTCCATTTATGAGCGTTATCGTACAATATAATTTACTGTATAATTTGCCGAATAGGTAAAACTTGCGATTTTGGATTAAAATAGCAACGCTCTTGCCGAAAAGGGCAAGCGAAAATTTGTGTATGCAATAACTTCGCAAAAATCATTCTGAACCTAATGAAAAAAATACATTTCATTGTGTTTATTATTAAACTATTGTAAACTTATATAAAATTTATTTAGTTGGATTAGGCTAAATTAAATTGCGCTTGTTATAATAAGGTTAGGTAAGTTTTCTAAGGTTCTTTTGGTACAAAATTATTAATTTTTACATTAACATAAAGGAAAAAAATATATCTTTAAACGTATAAGAGAAATTTTTAGAAAGGACTTAATTTTAAATGAGTTCTTGCTAATTGACCAGTTTTACCTATTCAGCACATATATATAGTGGTAAGGTGATCCGTACATTGTGCTGTCTCTGGAGGCGGTACAAGGTTCGTAGGGTCGAGTCTTGGCCTGCTTAACTTGGTTCTGGCAAACAAGGAAACCCTTGTTAATAATTTGTATAATATACATACATACATTATATATATATATATATATATATATATATATATATATATATATATATATATATATATATTATATATATATATTATATATATATATATATATATATATTATAAAGAGAGAGGTTAAGAGAGTGGTGAAGCAATGTAAAAAGAGAGCAAATGAGAGAGTGGGTGAGATGTTATCAACAAATTTTGTTGAAAATAAGAAAAAGTTTTGGAGTGAGATTAACAAGTTAAGGAAGCCTAGAGAACAAATGGATTTGTCAGTTAAAAATAGGAGAGGAGAGTTATTAAATGGAGAGTTAGAGGTATTGGTTAGATGGAGGGAATATTTTGAGGAATTGTCAAATGTTGATGAAGATAGGGAAGCTGTGATTTCGTGTATAGGGCAAGGAGGAATAACATCTTGTAGGAGTGAGGAAGAGCCAGTTGTGAGTGTGGGGGAAGTTCGTGAGGCAGTGGGTAAAATGAAAGGGGGTAAGGCAGCCGGGATTGATGGGATAAAGATAGAAATGTTAAAAGCAGGTGGGGATATAGTTTTGGAGTGGTTGGTGCAATTATTTAATAAATGTATCGATGAGGGTAAGGTACCTAGGGATTGGCAGAGAGCATGCATAGTTCCTTTGTATAAAGGCAAAGGGGATAAAAGAGTGCAAAAATTATAGGGGGATAAGTCTGTTGAGTATACCTGGTAAAGTGTATGGCAGAGTTATTATTGAAAGAATTAAGAGTAAGACGGAGAATAGGATAGCAGATGAACAAGGAGGCTTTAGGAAAGGTAGGGGGTGTGTGGACCAGGTGTTGACAGTGAAACATATAAGTGAACAGTATTTAGATAAAGCTAAAGAGGTCTTTGTGGCATTTATGGATTTGGAAAAGGCGTATGACAGGGTGGATAGGGGGGCAATGTGGCAGATGTTGCAGGTGTATGGTATAGGAGGTAGGTTACTGAAAGCAGTGAAGAGTTTTTACGAGGATAGTGAGGCTCAAGTTAGAGTATGTAGGAAAGAGGGAAATTATTTCCCAGTAAAAGTAGGCCTTAGACAAAGATGTGTGATGTCACCGTGGTTGATAAATCTTTTAAAGTTGCTAGAAATACTTTTTACAATCCAAAAAGGGACAACCAACCTTATTCAACTAAAAATATGTTGGTTCTCCCTTACCATGAAAACTTGGTTGATATGCCTTCTCTTCTTAAGACTTTTAATATTAAATTTGTATTAAAAAATCTTGATACAGTAAAAAAACTTTTGATAAAGAATTCCCCCCAAAATGCTGATGGATGTGTCTATAAGATTCCTTGTATAATTTGCGATAAAGTTTATTACGGTCAAACTGGTAAAAATCTCGAACTAAGATTAAAACAACATAAATATAGCATTAGAACTGGACAAGATTCCAATGCTCTATTTATTCATGTAAGAGATTTTAACCATCCAATTGATTTTCAAAAAGTTGAGAAAGTAGTATCAAGCAAGTCCATGGTCGACAGGAATATAATTGAATCTTGTTTCATAAAAAGCAGTTTTGACAATAATATGAATATTTCCTTTGGTTTATATAAATTAGATCCATTTATAATTAATAGAATTTGGGAATAATTTAATAATACATTGGACAAATAATATTTTTTTTCAAATTTCTTATTTCTTGTGTAGAATAGTTTCTTGGTGGGTTGTATGAAGGACCTGTCTAGCTCGGCCGGCGGACCTGCTGTCTCGCGTCAGGTGTTTCGTTGTTGTGGGATCTGATAGTGAGGTGTGGGCTACCCCTTTATATACCTTCCTTTGATGCTTTACTTTCATTGTTCCTTGATAATGTGAGTAGTCACGAAAGCGCTTGGAACTTCTCTATTCTTTCACAGTGGTTGTTTTGCATATATATATATATATATATATATATATATATATATATATATATTATATATATATTATATTATATATATAAGGGAGTTATAAAGAAAGAGGAGGGTGAAAGGTGTAAAGAGGACAGAACTTGTCTGTTGATAACGCATCACAACCAGTTATAACCCAGCGTCACTAAGTAGTAGCGACGTGGAAATTTAGAGAAATCATCGCATGTTGAAGCACTGTGGATAAAAATAGGTACATATTGGGAGAATGTGACAGGGTCTGTGAAAACATCCCCTCAAACTATCCCAGCACAAATCTTTTTAAATGGCACCTTAAATATCACAAAATACTGAAAAACAGGCAAAACAGACGTTCTACAAAGCTTCGTTAATTCCATAACAAATGAATATCAGCTTTTATTTCTTTAGCAAAATTGGGAACATCAGCAGTGTGCTGCTACCCTATTTTATTTGATAATTACGTAGGGGGCTTCAGTAGAGCAAAGGGGATAGCTTCAAGTATTCCATTGAAGGTTCATCAACTACATGTGCTTCCAAGGTTTTGTTCCAATATTTTAAACTGACGTAACTAAAGATCAACGCACCAAAAACAATCTCTCCCAGAACAGCGAAAGGCTTTGAAATCTGCTTCATTCTCTTCTATAATGTAGAGAACAAAGGAGCATCGCGTCACCTGCAGGACACCTTTATAACGACACACCAACACATCCTGGGGAACCCGTATAGGCGTAACGTGAACTTTGATGCGTGTATCAGTTTAGGGATTCCGTATAGTGGGACTCCAGGGATGGAGGGTATTATTCACCCCTCACACTCTTCTTCCCTCTCTCACATCCTCGTTCCCTCCTGCCTCTCTGCAGCTTGACCATGATGGATCAGCTGAGAGCATCATCGGTTGTGTTTTGGGACCTGAGACTCACCCAGCGTCTACCGGATACCCTCTACCACATAATGAGGACCTGGTAATGCTCTGTCCCACGCACGCACTGACGCACGCACCCTCCCTCCCACGCACCCCACTACACACTTTTCTGAGGTAAGGATAAAGTTTTTAATAAAATACAACAAAATGGAGTAATGTAACAGTACAGTGGCCCATTGTTGACATCAAGGCTGTCAGCAGCAAATCTAACCAGAGTTATGCATGTACACTTGCAGGCAAGAAACTAGTGCATACCTGGAGTATAACTGGAGAGGGTTTCGAAGGGTCAACGCCCCCGCTGCCCTGTCTGTGACCAGGCCTCATGGATGGACTCTTTGACATACAGGCCAACCCCTTGTTGCCTGTTCATTCTGTCGCATCTAGAAAGGTTGTAACCACTTATCCATATTTCACTGTCAAAGTGATCTTTTGTGTGAGTCTCTGTGAAGGCTGCAAACATTGCATTAGACTCCTCTAGAAGTCCACTGATGAAAGATATTTTGTTGTTGGTGGATGGCTTAAGGCCCTGTATATTAGCAAATATGAACGAGGTTGTATTCTGTGTTTGTTGGGGGAATTTTGTTTTTGGCATCAGTAGTTGTAATTCTGGAGGGCCAGGGGTGGCCACTGGCTGCGCCTCCAGTCTAACAAGGCTCCAAGGTGGTGAACTATTTTTTTTTATTTCCTTCCATTTTCTTTTTCCGTTTCCTGCCACTAAAAAAATCACCTGGAGTTGAGTTGTCGTAGCTACTATTGTTTGTCTTGTTGGGTCTGTGCCTCCTGGTCCCTTTTAGATGGTATGCAGGGCAGTCGATGTTGTAACACTGCTTCTGAAGGACCGAGGAGTGACACATTTTTGGGTGAAAGAAAGTATAGGAAGAAGAACGACACTCCTTTAGACAGGAGGTCGCTACATTTTTTGGGATGCTCAAAGTTGCATGTCCCATTTTTTTCCTGATATTCCATGCTTACAGATGCCCCAAGCATAATATTTGCACAAATTCACCTTTGGTTGAGAATTGTTGGGAGGTGTGTTGTCAATTTCTGCAGGTTCTGGGACTGCCCTATAATCCTCAGTATCCAAGCCAGGGCCACCCTGTCCTGGATTCCATCTACTTTCCTCAGTAGAGGAAGGAGGAGACTCCTCTCCAACATCTGTACTGTGGGCCACGGTCTTGTGCAATGATGGTTGTATATTTACGGTTTTAGTGGTGGTTGTGGTAGGGTCCCTAGTAGAGTCTGGGCTGGCAGTAAGGCTGGGGGCTGGATCTGAGTCAGCACTGGGGCTGGGGGCTGAGCCTGGGCCAGCACCAGCACTGTGGGTATTAGTGCTATGACTGGGGGATGGGTCTGGCTTAGCACTATGTGGGTGACTAGATAGTTTCGAGTCATCTGTTGTGGTATGGGCATTCTGCATTTTTTGATACACTATCTCTTGCTCCCATGTTTTATATATTTTTGGTAGACTATCCAAGAGGTCATCTTTGTTTTCTTGATTATTTTAATCATTTATTACTCTCCTTAGTACCTTTCTGATACCTCCCCAAAGTTCTACATCTTTATTGCACAACCAGAAACACCTTGCTAGTTTGAGGTCATTTTTTGAGGCTGTATTTAGTCTAGTACAAGAGATATGGTGTTTGGAAAAGCATAGATTGCATGTGATTCTGGATTTCCTTCCAAGGATTTTTTTACATGTTCCACAGATATGCTGTGCTGACATCCTGTCTGTATCCTACTACACTCTGTATGCCACAGAAGAAAACTGATTTCCACTTTACCTTTCTCTTGCTGGTGCCAGTAATATGCAAGATGTATTTATACGAACCAAATTTGCAGTATGTGGGTGGTGGTGTAGGGTGGGTGGTGGGTGTAGGGTGGGTGGTGGGTGTGAGGGCAGGACTTACCCACACTGCCACACTTCACTATTATTTTTATCATTATTATTATTATTTAATTTCCTTTTATTTAGTACTGTACACTGTTTATCTCAAGGATATACACTGTAATCTTTTAAAATACACTTTTCATTGCGCTATACTGGGATCATTGTTTCATTATTTACACAGCAGCTAGGCCTACGCTAACTTTCTCCTACACTTCTATGGAAAAGTTTATTTCCTGTTTAGTAGAGGTAACGGTTGTATGCTCAATTTATGTATGATCTGATTCCCTGCACCTCAATGCTATCACCACTTGTTTTATCTCTTATGACTATAGTAATTACTCATCCGTTATTAACACTTCACTGGACCTCTGGCAATAGTTCGCTAGTGCCAGTCGCTTGTAAGATATTCCCATACCTACACTGTACATTATACGCTATACTGGGGGATAATTAAGATTACTCTTATCTACAATTTAGTTCACTATGTCACTGCACATATATATCCTTGTCACTCATTATATTACTTATAGATAGATCAATATTTGTTTATTTCCATTTGTGTCGACATCCGGCCACAGAAAAAAGGGGTGATTAGTGGAATGAAGTAAAAAGGGTGGTAAGGAAGAAAAAGTTAGCATATGAGAGGTTTTTAGAATGTAGAAATGATAAATGGAGGGCAGAGTATATGGAGAGTAAGAGAATGAAAGAGTGACGAGGGAGTGAGAAAGGAGAGCAAGTAAGTGGATAGTTTCATTAGTTTAATCAACAAATTTTGCTGAGAACAAGAAAAAGTTTTGGAGATTAATAAGTTGAGAGAGGATAGTGAACAAATGGATATAGCAGATGAAAACAAAACGATATTAGATGGGGAGGTGGAGATAAGAACAGGTAAAAACAGGGTCCACGAGACTGAGTGGCAGATCCTGGAACTAAGAACTGACGGAGAACATCACATCTAATCTGTCTCCCGAACGTAATTTCAGAATATGAAATGGCTATAATCATAACCATAATTTTTAAAGGGTTGGACCGGTAAGATGACCAAAACCTCGAGCAGTGGGTATGGCTAAAGCCAGCGTCAGGAAACACTTGTCCTGTGTCCTGTCAAATCTTACCTAACCTAACCGAACGTAAGAAAGTGGACAAAGATTCTCTCAACCAGTGGCAGTCCTGGACATGGGTGGAACGGGCAGCCACACAAGGCACCAACTGGTGATGAGACTACGTAGCACGCTCGATATTTACATTACACCCCCCCCCCCCCCCCCCCAAAAAAAAAAAAAAAAAAAAAAACAGTCGCCAGTGCTTCCATTTTTCATTTATGTTGAAAATAGTTTGAATCTTTAGTTTGTTTGCGGTATATTTGGGAGACATTCTCGAATATCCCATTACCATTTATACAAAGATTTATTTTTCATTTATCTTGTTTCAAGACAATATGTTTTTACTTGAAGCTTAGAATAATAGAGGTGCTGTATTTAAAAAGAAAAATGTTTTATTATGCACTGGGGGAGAGGGATGGGGGTCTGCTGTTGGAGGGGACAGAGGGGAAAGGGAAGGGGAGGGGAGGACAACTTTGTATCATCTCGCAGTGAAAGACTGAACAAGCCTCACATTACATCACTGGCACGGCGTAGAAAAACTGGGGATATGATAACAACGTACGAAATACTTTAGAACATTGACAACCACTTCCTTGCCAACCGACTTCTTGACAACTATCTCCCTTGGCACTCGCCTCCCTGGCAACCATCTCCCCGGCAGCCACCTCGCTGACAACCATCTTTGAACATTAAATCTCTCTCTAGCATCCACCTCTCTAGCATACACCTCTTGTATTCTTCAATACAAGATGGCTATCGTTTAGCAATATGAAATTAAGTAATGCAGATATTTAATGTTCAAAGATATTATATTATGGTTATTTTTCTAATTATATATATTTGTACAGGATTCACTTGTTTATAACAGCAATATTTATTTCTGTTTCAGATAAATGCAGATGATTTTGCAGCTCCTGGTCCCAGGAATGGCAGTAGCTCAGGAAAACACACTCGCGTGTAATTAAAAGGATTCAAAGATGTGAAGTTTTCCCATTGTCTTATAAGCAAGAACACAAATGGAGTAGCGCGTCAATGCACCTACTGGCTCATGCTAGGCTGGTGGCTCATGCTAAGATGCTCCTTTTCCCCCCCTACTTAATTAACCATTCTCACTCTTATATTTAACAATTATTACTAAACCAGTACTTTTCTACATCCTCTCTAAATCTGTCTTCCACCTAGATGTTGAATCTTGCCGAACACCAATTGTGAGTTTACTTTTAGTTTAATATCTTCATTATGTACACCATACCCATCCTGTGGGCGGTAGTCAAAGGATTAGAGGTACATAATGGGTCCACGGACTGGACACCAATTGTGACTGATACTCTTTCTGATTTCACCTCTGTTGACGGCTAACAGTAATCTCTATTTACCTATAAAGTGTTATTATTTAAGCTACGTAGTTAAATCTAACTAAACCATCAATGCAATAGGAACAAACATTTTAAATAAATCGTATCCAACCATTTTTTTTATATAACGTCTTAAGAACTTTTATGAAAACATTTCTCTTACTCGAGTATCAATAGCCATACAAACTCTTCGTATCATCGATCTATCCAGTCAGTGCAAAAGAGGGGGGCTTGGGGAAGGGTAGAAAATAACGTACGGCAGATTTATCTTACAGTAAATGACACACACTGTTTGCCACTCAACAGTCTGTCAATGACAGAAGTAAAGCCCTTTTATATACTTCAGGATTATTATGGAAGGAAACTTTTCGCCCCGAGTAGATTCTTCATTAGGATTCGTGGCAAAATGTTTCCATTAGAAAAACGTCTTGGATCGTATATAAGTATCTTTATCCACAGGCTGTCAGTATTACCATGTCATTTGTACCTTCAGTTTCTTTAAGAAATATAAGAACATAAGAAAGAACAACGCAACAGGTCTACTGGCCTATGCGAGGCAGGTCCAATTCTCCCACCGGCTTAAGCCAATGCCCTGACCTAAAGGTCAGACACGTCACTTAAGGAAGGAGCAAGACATCAGACCTATTAGCACAAACTAGTCAGGTCCAACTCACACCCACCCACACCCACTCATGTATTTATCTAACCTATTTTTAAAACTACACAACGTTTTAGCCTCTATAACTGTGCTCGGGAGTTTGTTCCACTCATTCACAACTTTATTACCAAACCAGTGCTTTCCTATATCGTTCCTGAATCCGAATTTTTCCGATTTAAAGCCATTGCTGCGAGTCCTGTCTATGTTAGATATTTTAAGCGCGCTGTTTACATCCCCTTTACTAATTCCAGTTTTCCATTTATAAACCTCAATCATATCGCCCCTAATTCTACGCCTTTCTAGAGAGTGCAGATTCAGGGCCCTCAGTCTATTCTAATAGGGAAGATTTCTGATGTGACGAATGGTTTTGAAAACCGACAAGTTGAAGAATTGAGACACTTATGCAACACATGGGAATCTTTATTGAAGAAACGTTTCGCCACACAGTGGCTTCATCAGTCCAATACAAAGTAGAAGTGGGTAAGGAGAGTAGAAGTTTTAGGTAATCAGTCCCTCAACCTGGAATCGATGTGTTCAGTCCATCACTCTTGTAGGAAGTGCAGCATAGGGCCAGAGAGGTGCCTTATATACTGCGGTGAGATGAGGTGAAGCAGGAGGAGGCGGGATCACAGTGGGACCTGCCACTAGTGTAAGTAGGTCGTCGTCCAAAGGTTGGGCAAGCGTTGAAGTCTTTGTACCAACTTGTCGGTTTTCAAAACCATTCGTCACATCTGTCAGACACTGCAACATCATGGGATCTTGGTACAAAGACTTCAACGCTTGCCCAACCTTTGGACGACGACCTACTTACACTAGTGGCAGGTCCCACTGTGATCCCACCTCCTCCTGCTTCAACTCATCTCACCGCAGTATATAAGGCACCTCTCTGGCCCTATGCTGCACTTCCTACAAGAGTGATGGACTGAACACATCGATTCCAGGTTGAGGGACTGATTACCTCAAACTTCTACTCTCCTTACCCACTTCTACTTTGTATTGGACTGATGAAGCCACTGTGTGGCGAAACGTTTCTTCAATAAAGATTCCCATGTGTTGCATAAGTGTCTCAATTCTTCAAGATTTCTGATACATGGGATAAACTTTGTCATCCTAGTTTGTACGTTTTCCAGTGCATTTATATCCATTCTGTAATACGGTGACCAAAACTGTGCAGCATAATCTAAACGAGGTCTAAAGATATATAGAGCTGAAGAACAACCTGAGGACTTCTATTATTTATACTTCTTGCTATGAAGCCAAGGATTCCGTTAGCTTTATTGCGAACACTAATGCACTGTTGTCTTAGTTTTAGATTACTACTAACCAGAACTCCTAAATCTTTTTCGTAATCCGTAATATTAAGATCTACATTATTTAGTTTATATGTTTACCTGGAGTTTACCTGGAGAGAGTTCCGTATGTGGCTTGATTATTTTCCTGTCCAACATTTTAGAACTTTGCATTTGTCTATATCAAACTGCATCTGCCACTTCTCCGACCACTGCATCAGTCTATTCAAATCATGAAAATAAATGGTATTAAATACCGACACAATGGAAACAAACACATATGCAGTTTAATGTGATCCTTTATTGACAACGTTTCGCCCACACAGTGGGCTTTTTCAAGTCACAAACAGATCTTCCTGGGGTGGAAGGTACGTGATTATTTATAGTCAGGTTCAGAATGTTGAGGTCAGGTGGAGAATGCTGCATCTGATTAGTTTCTGTAGTAATTAAATGGTTGTGTGAATTGCGATGTTGTACACAGGCATTCCTTGTATATAAGGAATGCCTGTGTACAAGGAATGCAAGGAATGCCTGTGTACAACGTCGCAATTCACACAACCATTTAATTAACTACAGAAACTCAAGACTTATCACCACAGAAGACAACACTCAATACCGAGGAATCCCGGAATCATCGCTTATCTCTATAACCAACAATTTCAACCAGAACATTGGCTTCTATAACATAGCTGAACCACTTGCCAAGAAACATCTTCATCGCTATCCCACATAAGAACAGAACACTGCAGAAGGTCTGCTCACAACTTGTCCAATACCCCTGCCAAGCTACCCAAGATTTTAGACTCTATAACCCCACCCGGTAGATCATCAGATGCAGCATTCTCCACCTGACCTCAACATTCTGAACCTGACTATAAATAATCACGTACCTTCCACCCCGGGTAGATCTGTTTGTGACTTGAAAAAGCCCACTGTGTGGGCGAAACGTTGTCAATAAAGGATCACATTAAACTGCATATGTGTTTATGTTTCTATTCAAATCATCCTGGAGTGCTCTGATGTCCTCATTAGAATGAATTGGACGGCCTATTTTGGTGTCATCAGCAAATTTGCTTGTGTCGCTATTTATTCCCTCATCTATGTCGTTTATGTAGATTGTGAACAACAAGGGGCCCAACACTGACCCCTGTGGAACACCGCTTGTGACGTGCCCCCATTCTGATTTCTCCCCATTTATGCAAACTCTCTGCTGCCTATTTGTTAACCGTGCCTCTACCTAGGAAAAAATTTCTCCTATTCCGTGTGCCTTAAGTTTCCTCAATAGCCTGGTCAAGAGTCTTTTACCAGCATCAAGAAATTCTCCTTGGAAGGGAACTGGTTCTCAAAGACAGCTCAGGAATCCATACTAAGTCGGTAGGAAACAAAATGGTTGGTGTCACATCTCAATGGTGAAAAAGACGCTCAATGCAGTATTCTCATTTTTGTCTGCGATGAGAGATTTGTCTATTGTCAGCCTTCGTCGTGGGCACTCGGAAAGGACAGGAAGTACTCACCAACTCGGCTCCCTCGAGTCCCGTGATCGTAAGGGTGGCTGATTTAGCCCGGTTGACCCTACATGAAAACAAGAAGCCCTGCGGTGATAGACCCCCGGCACCACATTGTTCCTGCAATCTCTCCAAGGCTAGGATGGAATGTTCATCCACTAGTACAATATAATTCGTTATTTAAGACCCGTGTCAAGACAATCTTCCTAACAAGTATAACAACAAAAACTATTGTGAGTGATTGTAATATCAGTTCTATTATTTTTCTTAAAATGGAACATGTCAGTGATTTCTCACAGTAGAGCATAATCAAAAGTGTTGTAGTAAATGTTAAGGGATGGCTCAGCCTTAACTATTACATGAATGGATTTGATGGGTTCCAAAGTTTCAATGTGACTAAAGGATGAATCCTTCTCAGGATATATTCCAAATCATGTGAGCCAACTACTGCAAGATATGTAGACTATTTTTATAATCAAAAAGAAGCGCTGAACCTACAAGGGTCATACAGCGTAGCCCAGATATGAAGAGTATCCCCCCCATTTTTTTCGGTTTCAAAGTGATACAATTCAAGTTATACATGGTAAAATGTACATCTCTGTATCATTTCCAAATTGTTAATTACACACACTTAGTTCCATTACTTATTATTATTTTTATTATTTTCATAAAGGTTAAGCTCGAAAGGGATAGACTGGGGATGGGAGGTAATAAGGATTAATAAGAGTGGAGAGTGCCTCCATTTCCTTGGAACAAGAGGCTTCACCAGCATCGCGGCACCTCCCTGACAGGGCTTCCTGCTTATGAACGCTGGATGCAGGAACAACAGCGGTCGGGTGTTTGATCGGTTTATAGTCAAGGAATTTTTAAAAACTCTATGATTTCTTCTCTGTTATCATTAAAAACTTTTACATTTTGGCATAAAAATGGGTTCGTTATCATAATTAGTTCACTTCTGCTGGTAATTTGTATCTTTTTTCAGTAGATGTCAATTGTGATACTTCTCCATCCCTAACAACTCCATCCCTAACAACTCCATCCCCAGCAACTCCATCCCCAGCAACTCCCTCCCCAGCAACTCCCTCCCCAGCAACTGCCATGGTAACCATCTCAGCATCGCCAAACCAGGTGTTTAATGGACCAACTGGTCCAATACGAACCCGGGATGAGACACCTGCAGCACCATCCCTCACCTCCAGCATCTCCATTACTCTCCCTGTGATGGCGTCATCGAGAGAGAAAGAAAGAGAGAATAGATAACCAAAACAGGTAATAGGTTGCTCAGCTGAAGTTAACACTAGGGCTCCACAGGCAGATGAACCTCAAAACACTGCATCTGAAAATTCAAATAAAACTTCTTTGGCAACCGCACAATGAAACTAGCCTTGTATCAGTCAGCTCCACTCTTGCATCCGACAGCACACCTGTCATCACTGTTCCAACACCTATTGGTATACCTGGCAGTAGTGCTCCATCTGCCGACCCAGAGTCAGGTTTTTCTCCTCCAGAGTTTGTTGTAGCTAACAATTAGCTGAACGACCTTGTACCTGAACAAGTGTTGGGCCAAAGCCTGAATAGCAGGAATATATCAGGTAGAGCTGGACGAGGCCGTGGTAAGGAAAGAAATAGCCATTCACAGCCCCCAGCGTTAAAAAAAAAAAAAAAAAAAAAAAAAAAAATCTATAATCTCTAAAATATACCATCGCGTAGAGGCTTAAAAATATACTGAGATACTTGGGGTCACTGCAGAAAACTTAAAATATAGAGAAAAGGATGAGTACAGTTAGTCCCATCAAACAGGTCCTGTTGGTGAAGCAGGTACAGGAACTTTCAATTTTGTCGTTATCGCCGTACCATTTGCTACTTTCATATAATCCCTCAAGAAACTAAGTGTGGTTATTGTCAGTGCTGTAGTAGCAGTGTGTTGAAGTACAGTCAACGAGGTCAGATACAGTCAAGACAGTGATATCACGAGCCATGATCGTAATATTAACCTGGAAGCGGCTTCCACTAAGTGCAAAATGTATATATAAAAGAGAAGTTCATCAGTGATATCTGTAATTACTCCTTGACTCAATTTCAACATGTGCTTTGTTATATATACCGTGTAAGTTATACACTGCTGCTTTCAGTGCAATCTTAAGGCAGGTAAAAGGACACAAGTGCAACAAATGTGACATTCTACTGTGGCAACGTTTTGCTCTCCAGGAGCTTTATCAAGCTTTAATGACCCTCGTATAGCCTATCGACTATTCGAGGGTCATTAAGACTGCACACACTTATGCAAATATCATTATTTTCACAATAATATGTACAAACAAAAATATCCTCATTAAAACTGTGATGAAACACAAATCTATTATTAAAATGTATAAATACAACATTATTTACACTCTGGGTGTACTTAAACAGCAAATACACAAAGCATACACAGTGTTTGTAAACACAGCCATATGTAATTGTTATTATCAAATATTATACACGAAAGCAAGCAAATGGTTGGCCTACAACATGCTTGCTGTGAGAGGGCCTGGACTTATCCCCTCTTTCCTTGGATCGAACCTGATTGCCTCCCTTTCCCCTCCCCCGGCTCTGTATGATCCCTACGAG